CTCCGGACAACAGATAAACAAATCCTCGTCGCTTGCGGAGCCTTTAGCAATCTTCACTTATTTATCCTCTTTCGGGCACTGATTCCTGAAATGCCCCACCTCATTGCACTTCCAGAACGTTACGCCTGAGCTATCCCGAGTCTTCGATTGACTCCTTCGTCTGTTCTTACACCCACTACCTCTGTTATTTCTTCTGCATCTGACGATATTTAGTGATTCTTCCGAAGACTCACCAGAACTCCTTCTTCTGACATCTTCGCCAAGAACGAGGTCACGAATCTTCTCAAAAGTGAATTTGTCAGGTCCTACTGAACTAGTAACTGCTGTAACAGTTCCGGACCAACTGTTAGGCAATGACGATAACAGTAGTAGAAGCTTGAACTTCATCATCGAACTTAATGCCCACTGACAAAACTCTGACTAAGATTGAATTCAACTTGTTGATATGCTCAGTAACTGAAGTGTCATTTTTCATGCTTGTGTTCACGAGTTCTCTGATCAGAAAAACTTTATTCGCTGCAGATGGCTTCTCGTACATGATAGACAGTGCTTCCGTAATTCCCTTCGCTGTCTTCTCCTTCAGAATGTTGAACGCAACATTATTGGTCAACGAGAGACGGATCACGGACATAGCTTTCCGATCCAAACTTGCCCAATCTGCATCCGACATCTTTTCTGGCTTGTCACCCAATACCACGTCCAAATCTTTCTGTACCAGCAAATCTCCAATTTGCATCTTTCACCAACTGAAATCTGTACCATCAAACTTTTCAATTCGGAACTTCCCGTCTTCTGCCATCTCAAACGACTAGACGAGATACCTGGTACAACTAATTTCAGATCTTGGTATTTTTTTCATCAGAAAATCAGGCCCACCACACCAATTAAATTAGCCAAAAGAAAATCACAAGCTAGACCCAAAACAAAATAAGCCCAAACAAAGTGGTTGAGCAATTAAAATCAAATTGGCCCACTGCCTACTTTTTTTTCATTCCAAGTGGACTGATACACTGCCATCCCCCTTTCTTTCCTTCTGTCCTGGTGTTGTGCGCGACGGCGGTAGGTGCAAATTGGCTTAGCCAGTGAAACGGCACGGCGGTGTCTCTCCTCTACGCACCGGCGGCTCCTCCTGCTGCTGCTCCTGCGTATGGCGGTCTGTACGCAAACGGCGGCGGCGGTCTGGGAGCTCGACGGCGGCAACACGCAGCGGCGACGTCAGCAATCTTCCTCGTGGTGATGGCGGCAAGACCCAGCAACGAACTCGACGGTGTTGCACCCTCTCTCGCTCTTGCCGCGAATGACGGCGGCGATCAAAGAGGTTGACGGCGGCGATCAAAGAGGTTGACGGCGGCACTACAAGGGGATGCTGCGGCGGCTCGCAGATGATGGCGAACACCTGTGCAGCTCTCTCCCCCTTCTTGAAGAGGCGGCGCTACTCTCCTTCACAGCGGAGATTCACAGCGGCTCCTTGACGCACAATCCAACGATCCAGATCTGCAAACCTTAGGTGACAGCTTCTCGCTATTCGTGTTCTCGTGTTGTAGAATCAGGCTCTGATACCACTTGTTGGGGAATTAAACACACAATACACACAAATAATTTGCGAGAAACGAGAGAAACGGAACACAAACGACACACAAGAATTTAACGTGGTTTGGTTTCCCTAATCCACGGCTGCAACAGGAGGAATTACTTATTTCACTTGTGGTGTCTCCTCGGAATTACAAGTACAAGGGCTAATATATAGGAGCAAAAACCTAGGGCTACATAACATGGGCCGGGCCTACAAGTCAATCCCAAGCCTCCACAAACCCAACAGTTCTCACACCGAAAAGCGTTTCGGTAAGGGATTCCAAATTTTGGGAGCTCGCAAGTGTAGTTTCATTTTTTTTTGTTTTTTCAAACATATTCTCATATTAAGATTCATTCATAATATCTACTCCTCTCCCCAATTTGATTACAAATTGGAGTTTACGAGGAAAAATATCTTATTTTTTAAAATCATTTTATTTACATATCGGTATATCAATAAGAAATAAAAATTATATATTAAATTACATCAAAAAATCTACAAAAAAAGAGGTGACAAGAATATTTTATTTTATCAAATACTTAATAAAATTGTGTTAAACAAAACTAATCGAGAGGAGAGAGAAAAAAAATTGTAATCAAAATGAGGACGGAAGAAGCATAAAAAATTTAGAACCCTTTCGGAACAAAAATCACCTAAAACTTCCCAGTCCTATTGGCCTATTATTATGATATTTGAGCACTGTTCTTTTAGGTTGAAATTACAGAGTTAGATGTTGGAAGAAACTAAAAGGAGTTGGAAGAAATTGGAAGGAGTTGAAAAAAATTGGAAGAAATTGGAAAATACTGGAAGAATTAAAGTGTTAAAAAGCTACTCAATTAAATGATCACTCAAATAAATATATGAGAAAATTCTAATTTTGGTTAAAAAAGAATTCATTCTTGTGCGTGTTTGTGGTGATACATTATAAATTTGGATATATATTGTTATTGTATATTATCATTAAAAAAAATTAAGTCGTTATTAGGAAGGAAATAGAAGAAATTGGAAGAAACTAGAAAGAGTTAAAAAGAATTGGACAGAGTTGAAAGAAGTTAGAAATTATTTATTCCAACTCAAAAGAACTATGCCTTGGTGTGGTTCATTAATCCCTACCCATGTCTATCTTTCAACCTAGGAGGGTGTATTCAATTCAGATTCTTTTAAATTTTTTTGGATTTTAAAAAGTTAATGGATTTAGAAAATCTATGAACTCTATGTAGAGTTTTGTCGACTTTTTTATTGATTTACATGGATTTCTCGAGACTTAATATGACCTTTTTTATTGGTTTAAGTGGATTTTCACATTCAAAATTGAGCCTAGATGAAATATTAGTCGGCCATGAACGGAGGGATTGGGTTGAGAAAGGACTTAGAGAAAAGTATAAAATGGTTCTTGCAATAGGAGCATGGGTGGCTCGGGGGTGTGCAAAGTGGTCAACTGCACAGGGTCTCTAAAATTTTAGGGCTCCATATTTTTAAATTTATTAATAATTTTAAAGGAAAAGTTTCTAAAAAACTAAAATAGGACCCAAAATATAAATTTAGGACCGGGCCAATTTTATTTTTTTATTTTTTGGGGCCGACCCTGATTTATAGGAGAATCGAGGCGGGAGAATTGCCGAAGCTACCCCCACTACAACCGCAATGCCTTTGCCCACATAATCAACCATTAGATTGGGTTTCAAGGATTTTGTAGGGAATCTCAATAACCCAATGAACTAGACGGAGGAATTGTAGTAGGAATTGCAGATTTGCAGTATTGCTTCTGTTCGCGTAAGAGTTTTTTGCTAGTGCAGGCTGGAAGGGCATCCAGAAAATTCCTTAGTGAGAAAAGATTTTAATATTCATTGACTATTGAATGCCTATATATTTTTTAAAATTATTTAAGGATTATGATATGTGTACCCCAAGGTTTGTACCCAATTTGTACCCCGCAGTTTTGCACCAACACTTTGTGTTGGTGTAAAACTAATTTTTGTTAAACGCACCAACATTTGTGTTCGTGTGAATATTTATTAACGCACCAACACTTGTGTCGGTGTAAGCCATCGAAATGTTTGTGCAAGCCTGTGGTGTATAAATGGGGTATATTTTTTGGTGTAAGTGTAGCATGGTCCATTATTTAAAATCCTTATTGCATACTTTGGGATTTTTAAGGACTTTTATAAGTTTAAATTGAATACTCTTAGATTTTGAGAATCTAACAAAACCCAATAGAATCTCAAGTGAATACATCTTTCTTAGTGTCACATTGACATTCTTCATACCCATCTTTTTTTTAAATTAGAATCTTTAAAATGGAAAAAAAATAAAAAATAAAAGATAAAAATTTAATATAGGGGTAAAAAACTATAAGGATACTAAAATAGAAGTCACAATTCTTTTAAAGCAAAAATAGGAGTTCACACGGTCATTGTTTCACTGTCGCATTCACCACATTGACACATTGTAACTGTCACACTTTCAATGTCACACTGCTATCTTTCGCTGCCGACCACCAAAGTGTCGCTACCCTGATCACACTGATATATTACAATTTCATCACTTTTCTATCGCACTGTCAATGCATATTCTTACACCACACAACCATTTTACTCATATTTTAATCTTAAAAGACATAGAACTCGTATTTTGGTATTTTTTAACTTTTTTACTTCTATCCAGGGACATTTCTTAAATTTAAAACTATAATTAAAAGAAGAAGAAAGTAACGAAGGAGAAGAAGAAAAAAAGGAAAACGAGGAGAAGAAAATGTGGAGAAGAAGAAGAAAGGAATAAAGAAACAAAGGAGAATGAGAAGGAAATTAAGAACAACAAAGAAGCAAATTTGCAAAAAAAAAAAGAATCAGATTGAGAGGAACGGCATGGCAATGCCCATTACGTCGAATCCGAATTCCCGAACAGGGATGGGGTGGTGTTCCCGTCAACTGCCAAATCGCACGCCATCACCCTCCAAACTACAGTTGAATATTGGTGATTTTAAGAAATCATTTATGTGACATACTTGTATTTGACTAAACCAGACCATAAATCAATTTAAGACACTTGTATTAGATCAGATCAGATTAGTTCTTAATAACATCATGAAATCAGATTTAGGCCCCGTTTGGCATCAGCGTCAGAGATTAGCGTTAGCGTTTTGAAAAAGCTATCTGACGGTAGCCTTTAGCGTTAGCGTTTTCAGAATTTATCTGCACCGTTAAAATGTTATCCAAAACGCTAACGCTAATCGAAAACACTGTTACCAAACAAAGCCTTAATCGGATACAAAAACGAACTCATACGATCCCCACACTTTAAATTAAGAGGTGTGTAACCTGTGTCAAAAGTACCTCATATTTATACCCTAGCTTGCACATAAGTGTATTAGAGACACATACAAATAAATATTTTGGATAATGCTAGGTGCGAAATATATTTCTCACAGAGAATTGGGATCTCTTTGATTTGGATGTAACTTCACATGTCCCACACACCCACGCACTTATTGGAAGAGAGGGAGTATGATTGCGAAGAACCCGCTTTTTGATTCCAGTGTCGTGTGAAATATTACCGTGTATGTCACTGCTGACATCACTACTTTGTCCCCTAGCTAGTAGAGATTAATCTGTACTAAAAAAACAATAAATCATTAAACCCTTCCTTTTGATTTTAGACCAAAATAAAAAAAAATGTATTTATAGTTGACTCTTCAATTTCGCTCCTGATCTGATAAGTAAAAGTAAGAAGAGATAGTTGGATTATTAGTGAAAAAGTATGATACGGAGTATGATATGTAGGGTATGAAAAAGTATGGGTAAAAGTGATTTTTTAATAGAAAATGGAAGTATTTTAGGGATTGAAAAAATATGAAAGAGGAAGGGTTTATTGAAACGGAGGTTTTCATAAAAAAATGAAAGAGGAAGGGTTTAATGAAGATGAAGGGTCTATGAAAAAAAATGAAGTCTTTTATAATATAGGTTTTCATATTTTTTTTCTCAATGGATTTTTCGTATTTAGTTTTTTATTAACAAATATAGAATTCATGATACTTCTTTTATACATACCTTTCAACAAATAAATTTTTTTGACCTTCTATAATAACTATGTTAAATTGATGATTGAAAGTGTAATTTCACATCGATGTTTTGTCGAGTGACGTATTCTGATATCGATCGATTTGACGAACAACATAACAATAATAATTATAGTTGTGAAATAGGATTCTGACCTAAGTAGGCTGTGGTTGTAGCAGACAACGACTCTAGTTGATAAATGACACATCAACAGTAGCCTCAGACATTGGCTATGAAAAGGAAGATATATCTTTACAAGAAATTCACTAATTTGGAACGGAATTTTGCGACGGCGACTTTCCGTTGTACACAGGGACAAATGTTGATATGGATGTTGTCATCGCGCAACAACATTTGTGAGTATAAAAAAAGACTATTTCTAGAAAGGTACTTATAAAAGAAAGACTACATGCGTAATATTTAGTAATAGAGTACTAAATATAAAAACCTACTCCCTCCGCCCTACAAAACGTTTCTCCTTTATTTTTTCATCCGTCACAAAAAACTTTTCTCATTTCTATTAAAAAGTTACTTTTATCCCTACTAATTTTTAACCAACATATTACATCATATTTTTTCACTACTAATATATCCATCACATCTACTTTTACCATTCACATCTAAGGTTATTTTAGAAAAATCCACAACAAAATACATTTATCTTAAATCTCTTAAAATACATTTATAATCTATGGATTATAAAGAATCAGACAAAATCCTATAAAATTCTGCTAATAAAATACATTAAAATCTAACAAACTCTGCTTAGACTTAAAATAATCCATGGAATTTACATAATCCATAGACTTTAAACAATGTATCAAAATCTTTCAGAATTGTGATTGAATACACACCCCTTAGTATACTTTCACTCTGATATATAAAAAAATAGATTGTATTATGATATAAGTTTAATATCTATATATTTCTATTGAAACGTAGTTTTCAAATATTAATTTTTTTAAAAATATATCTATGTATTAATATAGATAATAATGGTCAAAGCACACCACTAAAGACTATGAAAAGTCAAATTGGAAGAATATTTTTGGACGGAGGGAGTAATTATTATTTATACATAAAATTATCCATAAAATACTTTGATACTATTTGTTGTGATGTACTCTGTCATCTTAAAATTATAATTCTATTATTATTATTCACACAGTCAAACTTTAAATATTCTCTTTATCTATTTTATTAGTCGTTCGATAAAAGAACATAATCAATATGTCACATTTAATTTTGTAAGACTTTTGATGTAGTTTTTTAAGAGTATATATATAAATATATTTATTAAATTTTTAAGTTTTATATTTAAAACCAAATAAATTAAATTGAAATAACTTTGATTTGATCAAATCTCATTAACTGAAGCAGGAAGTTAGTTTTAAAAATATGTTTTACTTCTTCCATCACGTACAATTTTTAAACTTTGTAATCTTAAATGTGCCATAAGACATTTCAATTTGGCTTTAAGAGCACGGGCAATGGCAAGTAATGAAATGGAATGCCACACGTTGACGTGACACATTTCAACTAATAAAAGACAATTCAGTCAGCGTGTGGCAAGTGAGTGGAGAGGCATCTCGTGCAGTGGCAAGTTATTGTTTTTGTCAATTTTTATGATTTTTTAATGCATTTTAATTATTAAAAATTATTTCATTTATCTTTTTTATATAGATGTACTCTTTTTAAAAAAAATTATTTTTTCTAAACAAATAAAAAACAATCGCCTCACTCGCTTGGCGTGGAGGGAGGCTGAAGCCACGCGAGGCAAATTGCCGAGGATGCTGATGTGGCGCAGCGAGTGAGGAAATGCATCGCTGCTGCGCATGCTCTAATGGACACAATTAGACTTACTTTACATAATTCTAACCGAACCTACTTTATCTACACCCCACCGATATTTACATTTTTTGAGTAACACTAGTTTCAATTATGCTGTTACACCTAAGTCAAAGTTTTACTCTTTTACCTCTTCCCCAGCCAAAAGTCAGGAAGTTTTTTTTTTTTGAGAAGTATACGTGCGTACCTGTAGCGTGTTATTGGCGACATCGAGTGTCCAAAAACCGATGACAAAAACAGTAACGGCGCGGGGCTTGGTGGTTTTACCGAGGCGGTCGCCGGCAGCGTGGCCGATATCGGCAGCGAATCCGATGAGGAAGACGGCGAGGATGACGAGCAAGGCGCCGGAAGCAATAAAGGGGCGGCGGCGGCCGAAGAGGGAGGTGCAGTTGTCGCTGTAGTGGCCGGCCAGGGGCTGGACGACTATGCCGGAGATGGGGCCGCAGAGCCACATGAAGGAGGCGAACTTGTGGGGGACTCCCAGCAGCTGGACGTACGGGGTGAGGAGGGAGAACTGTAGGGCCCACCCGAACTGGAGTCCGGTAGCTATGGATGCCACAGCTACCATCTTCCATATCGGGGCGGACGAAGACGAAGAAGAAGAAACTTGTTTTCTTGGTTGTTGCTCCACTTCCATGGAGGATTTTTCCTCCATCGTCGTCCCCATTATAATATGTGTGATCTCTTGTTTTTATTTCGCGTTACTGTACGCGACAATAGTCTTGGATGGGAGAGTACTTCTACAAGTTAACAGCTTATATATAATCCACTATCCCAAAAGGATGATCTCGATGGATCATCCTAAGACCATTTGTAATGGGGTGTGGCCCCTAAATTCGTGTTGGCCATCATAGCAATTTCATCAATTAAAATTAATGCACATTCTCCTCAATAAATTAAAATAATCACATTGATAGACCTTGTGCGGTTATCAAAGCAAGAATTAAAGTGCCAAAAAAAATAACTTTAAATGGGACTAAAATATTGAGAAAAATAATAAAATAGGAGTTCATGTATATTTTACGTAATCTACATGGTCATGATTGATAATACAATTGCATTTTAACTCATATTTCGGAAATAAAAATATATATGGAACTTCTATTTTGGTATATATATTTTCAATGTTTTACACATACGAAAATGAGGGAAGGAAATTTCAGCCTTAATATATTTTACTCAATGTTTTACAATTGCATTTTAACTCATATTAATAGCCTTAATAAATAGTATGAAATAAAGAGTATTATGAATAAGTATAATATGTATGTCTCTGGCATGTTGGAAACAAAAATGAGGGAAGGAAATTTCAGGATAATAGCATTTGGATTGTTTGGGATCTGAATAAAATTAACATCAAAATCATGGAAGCCACGGATCAACCAATTCATTATTCTCAAGGGCATTTCGTTGGTGATGACAGAGAATTCTACTCAACTTTTGTCTGTGCACATAATGAGCCTAACAAAAGAAAGGAGCTATGGGACTCATTACAAAGAATCTCTACAAGATCAGCTTGGTGTGTGCTAGGGGACTTCAACACAGTTTTAGATCTTGATGAAAGAATTGGTGGAAACCTTATAAACTGGGAGGAGCCTAGATTGGGGGACTTGCCCTATGAAGGATCTAAATACACTTGGACTAATAACCAAGGATTGGAGAATAGGATTTATTCAAAGCTTGACATGGTCTTGGGTAATGTGGATTAGTTAGTCAGATTTGATTTTAAAGTATTTTCTTAAGGAGAGGGGAATTTCTAACCATTCCCCAATGATTTTGAAACATTTGGACCAAGATGCATACAGACACAATTTTAAATATTGTGATGTGTGGTCTCTTAATCCAAGTTTTCCTGCTTTGGTGGCTGAAGCCAGGGACAGGATCACAAAAGGCATTTATGTACCTAAGTCATCAAGAAGCTCAAACTTCTCAAAGATTCTTTGAAGACGTTGACTAGCTAGAAATAAGTTTCAATTTCTGGATAATCGGGTTGATGAACTGCGCACCAAATTACACGTGAAAAGAGCTTAACCCAGGAACTCCAAGGGTTTAGTCACTAAAACTATTCAGGAGTTCTTTCACAAAGGATATATTGTCAAGCAAATTAATTTCACCAATATTGTTCTCATTCAAAAATGTGATTATCCTAAGACTCCAGCTGATCTTAGGCCTATAACTAGCTACTCCCTCTGTCCTAATTTAAATTGTCTGTTTGTCATTTTTTTCCGTCCAAAACAAGTTATCTGTTAATTGTTATCGTAAACTTTTAAAAATAAAATACCCAAACTATCCTTAAAATAAGTCACCCTTCTTCGCCTTATCTTCTAATTCATAGTCACCCTTTCTAAAAAGTAATGACAAATTCGAAAAATCAATTCTATTTTTTTTCCTTAAATATGCCCAAAAGTCAAAACAGACGATTTAAAATGAGACGGAAGGAGTACAATGTCATCTACAAAGTAATATCTAAAATTATTTGTCAAGTATAATCAACCTGAACCAAAGCAAACCCAAAATTCACGACACCATTCTCCCTCCCCAAAATACGGTTTCAGGTTGTAGAAAAAAGTTGAAGATGAGCATTAAAAAACAAACAAAACAATTGAGGATGTACCAAGATGGAACGGTTGATCTAAGGTCATTATATCCACATGTGGGGTACAACGTAATTGACGAATGGTACAGAGTAAAACCGTTGTTAACCACAATTTTCAAAACGTAGTAACTTTCTCTAGCCAAGGGGGGATATACATGTAAGAAAGTAACTTGGAGGTGCAAATTCCTACCAAAATGCTTCTTCTCAAGACAAGCTCTGAAACATGTCCACTCTGTCGATGATGTCCAGCGCTTTAATCCGATCAATATCAAAGTTTATAACGGGGACAGAGGAGGGTCTCCTTATGGGACAGAAGGGATCTTTCTTTGTCCCGGATGCGCTACTAGTGGCAGTAGTGGTGGGTGAATGACTACTGCTCTTACTCAGCCTCTGTTGGTGCTTGCCTGACAACCTGGCAGCTTTCGCTGTCCCAAATTCCTGGCTTTTGCTGATTCCAGGTGTCAGCTTCCGATTGCTCACGTCGCGGAGCATCTCTTGGTCTTCCACTGACAGTGTGGGAGATGGTGGGGGGCTTGGTTTATGGCTTGACAACTGAATCGCCGTCTTCTGGTTAGGGGAACGCATTGGGGATCGGACCCCACAGCCATTATTAGGAGAGCATCTTGACGGATGACTCACAAGATGATGCAACCAGACCACAAGTTCAAGAATGTAGTTTTCAGTCTTCTCTTTTTCCGCGTGGTACAGTGTCTCGATTCGAAGTATATCGGTTAGCCCTCCACACCTCCGGTTTATTTCAGGCCTGACACATATGACATTTTTTGTAATAAAGTTCAAATTTTGGGGTAGAAAGTTCTTTAAAAGAGAGAAAAGGGATATGGATAACATCTTTTTCTTAAAAAGGAAAGTGGGACAAAATTATGGGACATAAGGGGTAAGCCATTAGACATGCATATAATGAGATTACCCTGTATTGGCCCATTCTCCAACCCATCCAAAGCCATGATGTGCCCTGGAATTAGAAAAGCATTTTTCATCAACTGAAAAAATAAGAAGAAATTATCCGCGCCATATTGTAAAGAGAGTTCTACTTGGTCGTATTGGTCGCCATAGGTACAAGCCACTGCAATGTTTTCTCCATTTCAGCTTTTATTTGAGGAACAGACATCTGTATCAAGACCGTAAAAAGAGTCACTAGGGATCAAGAACCCGGAAAAAGTCCAGACGTGAAAACAAAAAAAAGAAAGAAAATTACATTAATCGGGAAAAGGAAAGAATCAGTCCCTATTGGATAAAAGATTAAAGTAGTACCTCTTCTTTAAGTTGGAACGATTGTAACTTGAATCGTAAAGCAGACTTAATGCTTGGTGGCAAACCTTGGTAAAGACCATCTCTTGTGTTGGACGGCACGGAACCTGATCGGGTTACCTGATGACATTGAAAACTTGATTAAGCCATATCCACTACAAAATTTAAAGTATTGTGTTTCATTTACTCAGACCAATGAAAAATAAGCCGAAAGGGAAAAAAACAGCAAGACAGTAAGAAATTATCAAAAGTATCATTGCCAAATTCTAAATAGCAAGTGTGGAATTGAAATAGATTTCAGCTTCAGAAAAAGATTTTCAAAAACAAATGATACTTACAAGTGTATCGATCTGAGTGATAATATTTGCATAATGCAATGCAAGACCTGCAGATCCCAACCTTAGATGGTTATTGCTTATTGGTTTGCCCTTATCTACAAGTATCAACAAAAAACGTAAGAGAAAAAAAGGGTGTAAGTTTTGGGAGAAAAAATCATATCCAGCGCCTTCACAAGAGATTGTATGTATGATTGAAGGGAGGGAATGTTCGTCACATAAAATTGTCTGCATAATTATCGACCATAACCTGTAATGCACCCAAACTTTATATTTTTATATTTGGAATGGCAAAAGGCATGACCAGAAAACATAAGGGTTTTCAATATCCAGGCAAGTTGTATTGAATTTTGAGGCATATCACTCCCTGCACATCTTTAACTTTAAACCGCCTACTTGCCTACAAATATGTAGGCACTTTAATTTAGTTGATTAACCAGGGAATAAAATTTTGTATGCTCCACTAGCATATACTCCATAAAGCATCCGGCTTCAGCTATCAACACTTCAATTACATCAAATTTAGGTGAGTATTTGGCAAGGAGCATTTTGGTGTGTTTTTATGAAAAGGAGGCTTATGGCCTAAAGACCAGCTAGTAGAAGTGTTTCTTGAACAGTTCTTTTCCCCCACAAAAGGATGCTTTTTCTATCTATTTGGATCAGTTTTTTATAGATATTTGGGGCTGATGTTGTTCAAGCTTGGTTTACAAAAAGCATGTTTTTCATGTGCTTGGAACAAATACCTAAAAAAGCTGAAGTAAAAGCTGGCTGTGGGCCAAAGTATTAATATAGGATGTTCTCTTGAACATTGATAATAGAGAAATCAGAAACAACAGCAAGTAATCCTTCATTGTTAACAATAATAACATGGGGAAAAGATATAGTAACATGCCACCACCGGAAAAAAACTGTGAATTATCGCTACGGAAATGCATTACCAACACCTCCAGAGCTAGCATGAATCTCCAAATGTAGAAAATGAACAATATCCACCAACTTCTCCATCACCTTTTAAATCAAGAGAGTGAAAATCAATAACATACTGTAAACATTTTGAATGATCACGTATAATAAATACAAATGGAATTAAAAAGGCATGTCCTTAGTGTGCAAAAGTGCAATTAGCCATTGTAATAATCAAATCAAATAGGTAAAATAAACTAGCACTGACGTGCTACCTCTTCCAAGATTTTTGACCAGAGAGACTTCTTTTTCAAACTTTTTACATGTTTCCTCTGACTTTTCAGCTCGACCCTTAAGATTGCGAGGCCATCTCCTAACCGTAGAAAACATATACAATAGAAAATCATTACAATGACTGAAAACTACACAGTACACTTTAGCAATCTCGTTCAACCAAGTCAGCGGAACTACAGGTATACCATCTAAGAATCACAACATTTTGTTATAACATATATGAAAAGCTACAGCATTAAAAGGAAAGCACCACAACGAGAAATATAAATTTTAAAATATACTCCATAAAAAATGGCACCACACAATGAATATTTTGATCTAATTCCCAAAATGCCTTCGCCAATGGAAGCTAGGATACATTCAACAATTAGTCTCCTCTACTGCAACCTGAACTACTGAATAAAAAAAAGAGCATTCAAGACCAATTATTAATGATTAAAAAAATACTACCTTTGTCCCTGAGTATTTGTCCAATTTTGACTTTTTTGGTAAACCGTTTTCAACCTTTGGCCTATACTTAAATAAAATATACGGAGTATATTGTATATTAATTAGATAAAATAATATTTTGAAAATATTTCATATGATAAATATAATAAAATATTTTTGTATCAATATCTAATATCATTTTTATTTAATTTGAGGTCAAAGTTTACCAATTTTGACCGAAAAAAGTCAAAAGTGCACAGATACTCAGGGACGGAGGGAGTATATCTCCCATACAATTTTCTCCTGTACTGTCCTGATATAAAGTTCACATTTGGGTTTGGCATGCTTACCAAGAAAGTGATATTGCGTGGTTAGAATTAATTTAAAAAGGAAATAAAATATCCAACCACCATTTTTATTGTAAGACGGATAGAAAGGAAAAACTGAAATTTGTTATGGGATGGGGAGGTATCAAATTACTCATCACCTCACACTCTATACGATTAAGATGGGTACTTGAATAGCACAAAATTCTCTCCAAAGCAAAGAGGTGCCATTTGCTGACTCAATGAGAGAATGTAACATAAAAAGGAAAACACAATCCCAAGATATTCCATACAGTCACTTAATCTGAGAGTTTAGAACGATTTATTGCTGCAAAAGGGGTTATATTCCAAATTGGAACACTTTGAGCCTTGTCATAAGTGATGACAGAGTCTTTGACTTAGCATGAATGAACACTGTAAACTTTTAAGGCTCTTGCACCAACTGCAGTAAAACCATTAAATGATATACTGGTTCAAACCCCTTTGAGATTGAAAATAAAGGATATGCAACTGAATCAGAGGGATCTATTCACATGATGAACAAAGAAATGCATAGCAGTAATTATATTAAATACAACATATTACGGAGTAAAAAATAATATACAGTAAAAATAATACTACTTATGTCCCCAAAAAAGTTCCTACTTTGTTTTGAACTTCGTCCCAGAATAAAATTAGTATTTCACTATTAAGAACTGCATGGTCTGTGCTATTTCTCTCATCTACATAAACCTCAATGGTACAATTTCAGTATCTTTATGACTGTGTCGGGTCACACCGAGAACCTTTTAATTGGGTAAATGGAGTATTATTATTAAGGGTCTTTCACTTGGTGTCAATGTGGTATCATATTTCTCCTAGAAGCATTATCAGACACATAACAAAAAATATAACTCAATTGACTGCAAAGCAATATTTTCAGACATATCAACAAACAACATAACTCATTTTACAATAGTGAAATCAGTTGATATGTAGAAAATTAGGGCAGATGGTTCTCTTCGACAATGTATAATTCGTCCTTTATAACAAGGGGTTTCCATACTTAGTCTTCTATTATCAAATATTCTGCCCGTGATCCTTCTTTTATGGGTACCTTTTCACGGATAGTCCTTTTTTTACCTTTCTATCACGTTGGTGTTAAATTGAGGGCTAATGATAATGAAACTTCTACCCTCATTTTTAGTTACTAAACTCTCTAATGTATTGATAAATATACTTTGAATATATATTTGTTTTCTCATAAAGTATTGAAGGCAATTTACAGTGTCCTAAAACAAGAGAATAAAAGCACATACAAATTACCTCTATGAGCTGTACTTGAATTATCATCTTCCTGAGCCTTACGCCGATAATCCTGCTCGAATCTGTCCAAGGCATGCAACTCATGATATAGTTCCTAGAAATAACAATGAATAACTTAATTAGATCTAAGATAATGAAATCAATAGCTAAGCTTATGAGTTGGGAGAACACTAGTTATATGAGCACCAGCAAGAAAGAAGAGCTCAGCATCAACAAACAGAGCATTCTCTTCCCAGAAATCAATCATTAGCATTTTCTTCTTCACACAATTTATCCAAACAAAAGTAAAACAGAAAGTGCTGAAGGGATTAATTCTTACAACATAGAAGAATCTAAAGATTGTACTAATGGAATGCAGTTCCCAGTGATGATTTTGGCTTGTTTGGAATGAACCCCAACCCACCATTTTTTTTCCTTTTTACCTTCTTTGTTAGTGCCCTCAATTTTGTCTACTTTCATGTTTAGTAATGTTTATGTGACTCGCATTCATTCATACTTTTTCACATCAATATTAACAATACAATTATACTTAATCTAAATCCCACTACCTTTTGTCCCAAAAAAGTGGGACGAAGGGAGTATCACTTTAAGACCATAAATCACAGGTTAAATTATTTAAGGATCTATTTCTACATGATTGTTTTGTCTCAAGAAGAGACTCCCACTAATGCTTTTCATTTGATATTTCAATAGGGTGAAGTCTGTTAAGTGCGTTATATTAGTTTCTGATTATATTAAGCCTCTATAAGTGATTCCAGATCTGATTTTCAAACTTGCCATACATGGTTGAGCTAATACGTCTCCTTTTGATGTCTATTCTACCATTCCGAACATCCCAAACTTAGTTTCTATCACAATAGAAACTATATTTCATGCAACTGCAAGCTGTAAACATCTACGGCAGTTTGCTGATTCTACCAAAGCGACGCCACAGAAGCTTAAACACAGAATACACTTGACACTTCCATATTTAAAGAAAATGTGATTCCATTGATGTATGTTACTTGGAAATCATTACAAAATTCCAATGTTACAATACAAAAAATAACCCACAAGCTCCCCAATATTCCAATTTATTTTTGTGGTTCAAGAACAATGGCATGCTAGAGAAAAACTAAAATTGCTGCTAGAATGGAATATGGCATATAGCCTATCACTCTATCTTTTGCTTTGAGCACTTTGCTCAAATTCTAATGAAATTTGCGTCCATCGGCTCCCACCATGTTTTTACAAATTTGAAATCATGCAATCAGCTCATCTCTCTTCAATAGGAATGTATCTTTCAGTGAATCACCATCTACATTTTGTTCCACTTTTCTACTCCTCAAAGCTTATCAGCCAAGCTCTTGTATAATAACAAGAAGAAAAAGGTAAAATGAAAATCATGGACATAATACCCACAGCAGTATACTGAACAAATGTCATCAATTGATGCATCTCCGCTTCTGCTTCTTCTTTAAGTTGGCCGTTGGGTGTGAGTTCTAATTCTAACCTAAATCAGATGAAGGGATAACATGCAATATAAAACTTACTTGGGTTGAAAAATGAAACTTTATAGTTAAACTAGATTTAGGAGGGTCATAAATACTTCTCAAAATAACGGTCCAAATTATGCCACTGAGGATCTTTGCAACGATTTCCAAAGCGAACCACCTCCCCAGAAAATATTTTCAGTTCATCCCTGTAGTGAAACAAACAAAAAAGCCACTTATTTAGCCTAATTGAAATATATTATAAAAAGCTTCTCATGCAATTACTGCCATGGGCACCTCTTGTCTGCCGCAGCGATTCTCAAGAGCTCATCTATATCCATTGATATTAAGCGTTGCACCCCTTCAGAGGGGAGCACAACATCCTTCAAATGTTTAATGTTCTCACTTGAAAGGGAATTCATGAGTTTTGCGCCTTTCACAATGGTGTTAGCAACTTCAAAAGCCAAAATCGAAATTTTATTTCCTTTAGTAGCCATGCTAGATGCAAACCCCCCACTGAGGTTTAAGTTTGTCATGCTGCTACCTAATGTATCCAACACATCATAGGCCTTCCCACCAGCTCTCCCCAGAAGCGAACTCACTTCTGAAACCTGGCATGGCCAATCAAAAGTATAAACAAGCATAAAGTTTATTGCAATGAATTCTACTCGTCACGTATTGAAAAAGATAATAAATAGCATGCTTCCACTAGTAAAAAACTAGATACAGATAATAACTTGAAACATTAAAATATTAATCATAATTCCAGTTTGGGATTAAGGCATAACTAAAGTATTGAATATTAATTGCAGGTTATTCAAATAATGCTGATATAAAAATGTTTCAAGAAGTACATATATTAACTAGACTGTACGACGGTTAACCAAGAGATTGACAGTTCAAATCTCACATAAGTGAACTAGCGAATACCAAAGGGGTGGTTTGGGGCTTGGGTCTTCAGTTTCTATTTCTTTCGAACCTATTTTATGATATTATAAGTAAATTGTTGTGGCTTCCCTTTAACAATGGAATATCTTTTAGGTATGAAATATGAATCAGCCAAACCCTTCAAAAGATCGGGTGGAAATTGCAAGTTCAAAAGATGGAAATGGTTGTGCTTCTATCTAGGAGAGGGTATTTAGACATGAGTTTTTTTCTTCAGAAACTGCTTATAATAGTATCATACCATCAAAGGTAGACCTGAAAAAATTGACCCAAAAAACGAGGCCATTCAGGACGTAACTTCATAGTAAACTACACATCTTTCCAAGGAATGGACACGAGTTTGAATTCTATCACCCACATCCCATCCCTGATTAGGTTCCCCCCTTCCCTTACCCCACCCCCACCCCCCACAAAAAACTCATGCCCTCCAAAAAAATAGTTAATTGGACTATCACTAAGAAAAACATTATCACATTATGCCATTATCATATATTAGCATTAAAAGGAACAAGTATTAATTGCTTTCCAGCAAATCCAAACCTTATTGAAGCCATTATACTTCTAATTCCTAACCTTGATTTATTTATAATTGGTCAAATTAATAATTAGAAAATTTTAAAATGAAAGGTTTCTCACTCATTCTGAATGTATTATTCCAGCAGCTAGGCTCCATTGACACCGGAGTAACGGTGACACCGGATGACATTGCTCATTTGGGGCACCTACGATGCTTTGTTTGACCCCAAAGTGATTCCTACCCCCTAACCACCTTAAAAAAAACCCACCACAGTTCTGCCCCCTACCCACCACGGCAGCCCCCTCCAATTCAAGCACCCCAAATAAGTTCACTTTTTGTTGGGGTGGGGTTGGGGGGTTAGGGGTAGGAACCAATTCGAGGTCAAAGAGAGCATCGTAGGTGCCCCAAACGAGCAGTGTCATCTAGTGTCACCGTAACTCCAGTGTCAATGGAACCTAACCATTACTCCAAATAGTTTAATTTATCGATTTCTGAAGACGACTAGAGTAATATAATAATTCCTAGACTTCAGACATATTATGGGCTATGTACCTTTGCCATGGCCGCTTGTCTGGATCTTCTTGATCTAGATTTCTGTGAGAGTGTTCTGGATAAGCGAGGAATCCCATCATCAATATCATCCATATCTGCCCCACTGTGAACAGCATCAATCTCTGGGAAAGAAAAAAACTGTTGATCATTTGGCGGTTTATCACTGTTTTCCACATCATTTGATTCTATACAATTGGCATTCACTTGTGTGGTCAATCCCTGTGACTGATAAACCGTCCCGGAACCAAAATTTATGTGACTGCTGGGTTGTGGAACTCTGCAACCTTCAGCCGTTGCTCTTCTCGAGCATAACCCACCCATATTGCTCCAATAATGCTTAACCTAATACTGACTCAAGCTTTCCATCAAGCCCGTAGCAGACCCTCTTGGTGGAAGTCAATGATAAGACCAATTCAGCTCTCCAGCTGGATTCTAAGTAAACCAGTCTGAAGTCCGTGTCCAGAACTTGACCGATAAGTCCTTATTATAAGAACAAGCCAAGTAAATTCGAACTGGAAAAAAGAAAAGCATCATCAACAACAAAAAAAATATACTAAATAACTAAAAATTATTTATAAAAAAAAACAGCACAAGCATCTTTTACCAAATGAACTAATAGATCAAGCTGGCATGAAAAGTAGTTCCAAATTGAAGAAGGTTCCACATATGGTAAAAATTGGGGTACTATAAAGCACAAAAAATGGGGAAAAAACACTAAAAATTCAACCAAACAATTTGAATATTGTAAAATTTCAATTGGGGGTCTACAATTTGAATATCATTACTTGAATTAGACCGGAACACTGAAAATTCAACCAACCAATATATAGTAAATGAATATGCAAATAAGTAAAAATGGCATCCTGATGCACATAATTGCAGAATGGCTTACCAGTAGAAAAAAGATGAGTGGTTGGATCTAAGAGTAAATTCTTGAACTTTCTTTGTTTTCCCTTTGTTTCGAGAAGTGGACTAAAAGCTAGTGGCTGATGGGAAAGAATGTACGGATTGAGTTTTTTTGGGTTGCTTCTTGATCGGGTTATTTCCTGTTTGCCCAAAGGCCTGCACTGCAGGCAGGTGCTCGTTCAACTTTCTTGAGAGACCAAGTCAGAGCACCAGTCGTCGTCTTTCTCTCTCTCTCTCTCTGGCTTGTTTTACACTTTTACTACATACCAAACCAAACGTATCCAGCCCAGTTCCTCCTCTATGGCTATATCCCCCGGTCAAATATTTCTAGTAGAAGAACTGAAGTTGAACTCCTGACTCCAGAGAGAAGACTTGAACTTGAACACGGTTAATTTGAAAGGGAAAATAAAAAGAAAAGAGATTGGAAAATAATTTTCTTTTGTATGGTGAGAGAGAAAAAGAAAAGAAAAATCGAAAGAAAGAAAAATAAGAAGGCAAAATATATTAAGAGTCGGTTCTTTAGGGCTTGAACTCTTAACTTCCTGTTTCTTCCACTTTCTTCCAGCTTTTTCCAGTTCCTTCCAGTTCTTCCAGTTTCTTCCAGTTCTTTCCAGCTTCTTCCAGTTTCTTCCAACTATACTCATTTTCTTCAAACTCTTTCTACTCCTCAACCAATTACTCTAAAAACGATATATTTTCAATCGATTCTGTTAACCAAGGACGTACAGATAAGACTCGTAACTGAACGAAGTTATATGTCAAGTATGAAATACTATAAACTATGAAGGAATTTTTGTCATAAATACCAAAGGATCAGTGAAGACCTTGCTCAATCGAAAATTGTTAATCTCTCGAAGATTGAACGAGTTTGGTGAAATCAATGACTTGAGAATACGTATCCGAAAGATAGCGACATAACCATGTGAATATGAAACGGTCATGATCGGTGAGATCATTACAAAACGTTGAACGTTGAACCTAAGAAGAATTTCGAGGACGAAATTTCTTTTAAGGGGGGGAGAAATGTAACGCCCCGAAACATACCCTAGAATTATTATTAAATAATTATTCGTTTAAACAAATTTGTTTTGATTAAAATAAATTGTTGTTGGGCTTTGGGCCGATACGAAATATGTTTTGATATCTATTATCACACTCTGGATAAATCTCATAGAGATAAATCCAATATATTGACTTTTTGTGTGGTCTTGATTGGAAACCTGAGTACAGACCCAAATCAAGAGTAAATGAAAA